CCTCCACAATTTTCGAAAGCAATTACCTTCAAATTCTCAGAAATTTTGCAAACTTTAAGTTGAAGGATTCTCCCACACAAGTGCAGTCACTAAAGTCACAATCAGGTAAGCTCAATTCTTTGTGAAATTAGGGTTCCTGATACAATTTAATTAGGGATTTAATGAAATTAGGGTTCTTGGTACAATTGGGTTTTTCGAAATTAGGGTTCCTAGAACAATTAAAATGGGGGTTTTATGAAATTAGAGTTCCTAGTACAATTAATTTGGGGGAAGAAATTAGGGTTCATAGTACATTTAAATTGGGGGTTTTCTAAAATTAGGGTTCCCAAAACAATTAAAGGGGTTTTATGAAATTAGGGTTTTTGGTATAATTTAAAAATTGCTTACCTCTATCAGTTTTGATGTTCAACGCAATGTTAGCAAAGATACCCACCTTCTGGTCCCCTCTCAACTACCGAAGATGGCGACTTGTCCTTCCTCTTTCCCCTTTTCAAGATATTGCAAGTACAATGCAGTTATGATGTTGCTGATGAGAAAAAATAAAAAATAAAAAATAAATAAATTTATAAAAGAAGGTTTTGTTTCATTAATGGTGAGGAGGTTGAACAATTGACAGTGAATTAATGTTGGAAGATGTAGAAATTTAATGAAGGAAAAGTAGGGATAAAATAGCAAGATAGGGAAACCGAGATAATAGAAGAAAAAAGGAAGGAAATTAAAAAGTGGGCCCTACAGCCAGATAAATGACCGAAAAGTGGCAAAAGGTGATGAATTAAAATATTTATTTTTTTAATTGGTGGTGATTAAAATAACTTTTTTAGGGTGGTAATTCAAAATGTGTGTATTTAGTGGGTGATAATATAAAATACAAAATAATGTAAAAGTTAATTAAGGAAGTGGGTTTCATTTGAATGGTTAGAGCTCAAATTAGCTAAATGACAATTAGCTTAAAAGCTTATGTGGCATGACAAGATAATTTGACTGAGGTAAGCAATGCCATTGAAAATGCTAATTAATTTTACTGAACTTAAATTAATTTTTACTGAACTTAGATTAATTTTACTGAGCTAATTTGACAACTAGCTTGCCATTGGAGTTGCTCTAATAAGAATGATGACGATGAATTAAACTATGAACTGAAACTAAGGCTAAAAGAACGAGGCCTTACTATGTCATATCAACCCCCATCCTCTACATATCAGGTACAATATTCCTTCTCTTAGAAAATTTCCTCTTTTTTTTATTAGCGCGAATAAACCACAAGAACATTTCAAATTAGGCCCTGTTCACTTCAACTTAAAAATATAATATTCAGTAAAAATAATATCAGTTGAGTAAAAATAATGTCAGTTCAGTTTAGAAAAAATAATTTCAGTTCAGCAAAAATCATTATTTTCAAAAAAGAAACATAATAGAAAATCAGTTAAAATCATTTTAGTTCAGTACAAAGAATTTTGGTTTAGTAAAATTAATTTAAGTTCAGCAAAAATTTTAGTTCAGTAAAAATAATTTCAATTAATAAGGCGAAGTGAACAGGGCCTAACAATGAGGAAGGAGGGATTCAAATTTGCAACTATTTACAACAGCCTCCCATTCTTTGCCTAGGCCAAGGCATCATTGATGAGTGTCATTTATGGAAATCATAAGGTTATTTTCTTCGTAGTTTTATACTTGTTTTTAGCCTTTTATGTCAAGTTTTTAGGTAATAATGCTTGCTTTGCATGCTTATGTGTTAATTTAGAGAAATGCATGTTTTATCGGTTTTATTATCCTTTTTATGCATTTCTTTGCTATTCTCTCACTTTCCATTTGGTTTGATTTGTTTTGCAGGTGTGTCGGGATTTTTCGAGGTTCAAATGCAGAGGAGGAAGCCCAACACAAGCTTTGGAATTCAACCAAACCAAGTCTGAGAAGTTATCGGGCAAGAAAACCAAGTTAGAAGTCTATGAAAGGTTTCTTAGGCAAACCGCTTGGGCAAAGAATGCATGCCCAAGCGTTGTAGAAGAGGATTTGAATCTGTGTTGGGCATACAAAGTTGCTCGGCCGAGCGGCCCTTGTATGCCCAAGCAGCCTTCCACCTGAGTTCCCCCCACGCGTAAGCAGCAACTCAGGCAAACAAGTTTTGCTCGGCCAAGCAACTAGAGGGTATTCTCAGGCATACACTACTTGCTCGGCTGAGTGGGCTTATATGCCCAAGCAGCCCTGTTTTTGCAATGTTGCCTATTTTTCTTCTATTTTCTCTTATAACTATATATATGTACGGACCTTCTAATTTGGGTATCATTCATTCTTAGCATTATGAGAAAGAGATAATTAGACTTAGGTTGAGAGCTTCTCTCTCTATATTATGCTAGCTTAAGAATAGTTTTATAGAGAGAAAGTGAGAGATTTCAATGTTGATTTGAGAGATTAAAGATTCAAGAGCGACAATTGTATTGAAGATCTTCCAAATTATCAATGAGCATTTCTTACTCTCTCTCCTCTTTATTTGCTTTCTTTAATTTCATGTTGATTTAGTTTTGTTTCTTTGATTCTTGATTAGATTACTTTGTTCTTTGTTTCTTGTTTTCAATTACTTGTTTGGATTAGATGATGATTGCTAGTGAGTAGTTGCTTGCTAGGGTTTGGGCAAACTTGTATGATTGATTGATTGTGAATAATTTGGGAATTATGTTGGTTGATTGTTGAGATTAAAGTGATTAATGGAAGTTTGCATGTGCTTAGTTTGACTAGGCCTTGAGAACTATGTTAGATTGCTTTGTAGATCCTAATGACATGATCACTTGATTTTATAGGATTTTCAATTGTTGATTGGTTTGAATTGTGATTCTCCTAATTTGTCATTCATAAAGGAAACCTAGCTTGACTATTAGGTGATAGCTCTTTGATTCTAATTGATAGCTCTTATCATTAGTCTTCACAACTATTGATTGACTTAACCTTCCCAAGTTGTTGCAATTGTCATGATTACATGTTGATCCCCATTCCCTAGTGTTTCATTTGTTTGATTCTTGTTTGTTTTGGTAGTTGAATAGTCTTTCCTCACCTTCGACTTCGACCTAGCTTAGGCATTGATTGAAAGCACTTGATCATAACCGTTCTTAGTGGTTCGACCCTTGACTTACCTCTATACTTGTATTTAGGTTTGTTAAGTGATTATAAATTTTGTTTGGCTCTAGGGAGGATTAGTCAACGACCTAGTTTTCCCTACGTCGCTCATTGGCAGATTGCTCAATAATATGAAAGTGGGAAAGCTATCTATTATACACATAATACTAATCATCAGACCAATGGGTTATATCACACACATGGTACATCAAGAATACTTCGTAATTTGCATATTTGCACGTTTGCGAAAGGTCAATCAACACATTCACTTTTCATATATTTCAAGTTATTTGCGATACTTTATTTTGTAAGGACCCACTTTTCTCATTGCCACTTACCCCACTTGCAATGGATTCTTACTTTCTTGATATTTTTTACCTGCAGCATTATTGTTTCACGTTTTCTAATGTATAACTTTAACCGAATAATTTATATCACTAATTATATATATGTAAATTAGATTTAAATAAACTAGATTATGAGATGAATCAAACAAAAATCCATATATAAGAGTCTGTAAATAGTGTATAATGTTGAAATGTTGCAAATTAGAAAATAATAATGAAGTACCTTGTCCATTTTGAAAGATGATTACGGTTGCCATTTTGATAGGCCCCTTTATTGATTGTGTTTAAACTATTTCATTAAGATTTTTTTCCCCACATTTTCCCTCATATATACATACATACTTCCAATGCAATTATTCCTATTTACTAAAATATTTACCTACTCCCTAAGCAACCATTCATATTTAAATAATATATTTTCTTATTTCCAACATAAACTTTCTTATTTCTGACGTTGAGTTAATGCATTAATATTTAGTATTTGTGACATCTAATAATTGCTATCCACTCTCTTATTTTCTGTAATAAACGTGTAAAATCACCAGATATAACAATTATCTGGAATAAATGGCGTATTATTTATTCCCAAAACAATTAAATGTATCCCCACTAACTATACTTCATACTAGGTTTAAGTTAGTTCGATGCACAATTTTTATATCCGTCATTTTGTATATTCCTTATGATTTCTTGATCTATATGTTTTTTTAAACAAATGAATTTTTTTATATATAAATTTTCCTTATAAAAATAATTTGATTATGTAACTCAAACTTTAATAGTTTAATTGATTAAGAAAGAGTCTGAGAATAATTTATTCATTTAGATAATATAAAATTTGCAATCTCATTCTTATATTTATATATGTGGCACTTAAATTTTTTTAACTATAAAATAAACTATTAATCTCTTTTATCATTTGACAGATATTTGAATAAAATTTCTAATATGAAAGATAATTTGTTAATTAATTATAACGCTCCAATCCCACTTGTTGGCTTTTACTTATGTGTCATTTGACTTTAAAGTCTCAAAACTCATTAGTTATATTTACTGACGTATCAATTGAATTGCTTTATTCTAAAAAAATTACAACTCTTTTCTATGAGGAAGTACTAATACAGTATTATTATGCATTTGCAAATGCATAACAAATACTAAAATATAAAAAATCACATGGAAAAGTGAGAAAGGTGAGTGAGACCACTTTTAATTGTACTACTAAAAGTTTATATAATACCATTGGTTATTTAGTTATACTATATATTCACGTAGTTAGTACCACTGAATGCATATGGTACCACTACATACATACATAGTACCACTGAATAATCAATGATACTATTTGATTACTATTAATCACTCAATGATACTAGTCTAAAGTCAGAATATACATTACGTATAATTACACCATTACCCGTCATTATGCAATTGTTTATGCATTACAATACTCCCTTTAAACTCTCTCCTTTTCTACAACGGCTTAAAATATGGTGATTTCCTATGTGGCACGTGAAGATTCTCAGTTGGAACAAGTGGTTTCCATATAGGACATGAATAAGCAATCCAAATTCCAAAGTGACTTAATGGCAAGTCCAATAATCCTAAAAACAACCTATATAACCTACTGAGCCAAATTACGGACTAATCAAAACCAGTAACAAATGTGGCAATCCTCCAAATTTCAACCACCCATCCCAAGACACATCGTACTTCCAAGTTCAAGAATAGGGGTTACCACTTAAGACATTGGCATTGATGATATGAAGCTAAAAGGTGCATAAAAAAAGAATATCCAGCAAAGGTAGAAGATAGTTAATTGATGATCATCACATTTAACATCCTACTGGTTCTCTTATCAGTCCATCGCCAAAAAGGCTCATTAAAACCCTAGAGATAGAAGCAATCTTCATTCTTCCATGGGAGCAGCACCGAGATCGGATGCACCCTGGTCGGCAGCTGCAGCAGCCCCCTCCTCTGGAACTGCGGCTGCTTCTTCAGGTGCAGAGCCTTCTTCCTCAGCTGTCTGAAATGAGTTAATCAAATCTTGGACCATCTGCTGATCTAACACTTGGAATGGCTCATCAACTCCCACCACAGCAACTGTGCATATGGAGCTTGTGAGCTTCTCTCCCTGTAAAGTTTCTTTTATTGCAAAGAGTGCATGTTTGATCAGCTCTTCTCGTGAAGCACCATCAAATGTTTCAAATTTGCGTTCCAAGTAGGTTTTTGCAGCCTGTGAGCGTGACCCAATAGCAAAAGCCTGATACTCAAAGTAATTTCCACTGGGACAGTTGTAGTAGAGATGGGCTCCAGATTCATCCAAACCACCAACCAACAGACCAACACCGTAAGGCCGCTTCCATGAACGTTGTGTGCAGACCTGTCAAAAAGATATTGGATTGGAGAGTTGTAAACACTACTGCAAGGCATTATAAGATTATAAATATTTAATCACAGTGTATCTTTGCACAATTCAGATACAACCAACAAGCACAAAAAAGGTAGGTTACTACAGTTTATTAAAAAAAAAAGGCTAAATTATCAGCTTCCTCTGCAAAGAAGCAACAGAATAATTCAACAAGGAAAAAGCCTGCTTAACTCTTGCTGTTAGAATGTCTGTCAGTATTTTTTTCAATACCATTTTAGAGTTTGCCAATCAATCTGACAATGTTACATTTCAATTCTGACCAAAATTAGGTGGCATAGCTACTACTATATAGTGATTTTAGGATGTCTATGATGTACTTACTGCTAAGTGTGCTAATTAGGCAGTATTTGTACTTGATACATGTAACAGATTTGTTTTATCTTCTGCGCCAGTCTCTATTACTAGTTTACTACTACAAAAATGTCAATTAACAATATGGTTAAAAATAGCCATTAACAACGGTTGTCAACTGCTGTAGATGCAAGTGATGTACCCGGGGATCATTTTACTACAGTTGGGAGGAATTGTGTCACTTGTATTCATTTTTCTTTCCTACATGACCACTGTCTTCCCTTCTCTATAATTAGTGACAAACTTAGCAGCTTAGTATAATCGTTTCAGCCGCCTATGTTAGACTTGAACCTACATCTTTGCGCAATACTAGTAGCACATTATCTACCATATCAATCTAATGGGCTTGAACGCAAATGCTTAGTATGAAGTACAATATCCAACTCACAAGTCTGACTACAATACCACAAGTACACTAATTGTACAAGGCAATTAAACATTACTTTGTATTCAATATAGGGAAATAGGGAATCATATAACCGGTTGTTAAACTTCAAACTTATGATGTTAAGAATGGAAATTGGATTATCATTTTGCTCTATGGAGAACCGTCTGATGCTAATAGCCTAAAAGGTATAGTGTTTGGTCTAATCTAACAAACTAGATAAACTCCTCAACACCTACCCTTTTAATTGGGAATTTTAAGCAAGTTGCAAAAGTTTGGGATAAAATTAGTAGTAATTGTTCCAATGTAAGTGGCCTTCATAGTTTTAACAACTAGCTAGAGGACAATAATGGGCTTTTATAGACATTACATGGTCGAACAAAAATTCTTGAGATGCTTGATAAAAGCCTATGGAAACTTCAGAATGTTTCGTGGTTATTGCAAAAAGTCTGACAATTAAATGTACTTGAATTCAGACTTCCAAGTTATATTTCTTTTTATTTTTTGTCTTAAATGCTTGTTTAACTGGCTACAACAGGTCAATAATGATCAGTACAAAGTTTAGTACCTAAACTGCAACAACTCATAGTTGGGTAATCTGCAAAAAATGCCAAAGTTTATTACCCAAATTTGTGCTTTACTCTATGATATACCTCCCTCAGCTAAGAAAAAACTAGGAGACCTCCAATATCTTCCTCACCAGTCACCAATACAGTAAGAACCTGAGGCGTCCTTTGAAACATGGACATAATATCACCTTCACTGAAACCAGGTTTTAAATAGCTTCAATTTGGACCCCCATATTTCTAGAGTCATAGAACTCACAGCCCAAACACCATGAATGTACATTTTCAAAGTCCTTCCCAACCCTCCTCATACAATCCCTCATAAACTCGGGTAGCCCCAAGAAAAACCTAGGGAAACTAAGAAGAGTTTACCTAATTTGCAACTTGCAAATACTACTGCAGCATTGAGCCCCATGCAAACTGCAATTTTAGGAAAACGACAGCCTACTTATTTGGCTTTAAAAAACAACTATATCAGCAAAATAAATTAATTATTCTAATCACAAACAGAGAGTTAATAAGAAAACTAGGTAAGGCTGAAGGTTCTATGCAAGCAAAAAGGTCTAATCTTCTACTTACGTAACTACCAAACAGCAGAAATTATCAAACATGAACTCCATACAATTGGTACAAAGCAACAAAATTCATGAACCATAACTGTTCCCAAACCACTTTCTTGCAATAGTGCCAATGGGTAACAATAAATATAGAAAGGGTGCTGTTAAAATGCAGAAAGTCATGCATCATGATAAACTAGGAGGGGATATGAGAAATTTAACGACATAGATAAGTTGGACCACCAAGCGTTATTTTCTGCAACAGCAAGGACTTGCCACTTCAAAATTTATCTTCACTATTGAATATTAAACAAAATTCAATATTTTATATATATATATATATATATATATATATATATATATATATATATATATATATATATATATATATATATTACATTGTTTGAGCCCATCACACAGATGGACTATAAGTGAGTTGAGATGAAAAAATTGAAAGGGTAAACAAGGAAGACAAAAGAGGGATCCAGTTTCTCACTTTCTCTTATGTAGGTATGGAAAGTATGTTGGGATGAGAAAATTGAAAGGTAAAAGAAGGAAAGCAAGGGAAAGGAATTAAAAAAAAAACACACACACACACACAATTCTCCTTAAGTAATCAAATCCTTACACTATTGAAAAGGCTTAGAAGAAAATCAGTACACCCTATCCCTCTCCCCCCCCCCCCTCCCCCCGCCCTTATCTCTCTTCTCTTCCCTCCATAAATGCCGATCAAACACAATACATAAAAAAAGTAATTATCTCTTGATGTCCATATTAGATCTGAGTCAAGTCTAAAGAAAAGATAAAAGTTAGGAGACCTTCACAAACAATTGTGACATATACTATAATTGCCCAAAGAGCCTCAGCATATGTTCATCAGCAATCTGAAAGCATCATAAAGGGTAGTGACAAAAGCAATGGAAAGAACATAGCATGGTATAACATCCAGATGGTAGCAGGAGGGAACAGATAAAAGCTTCTGTAAGAAAACAGGAAGGACAAATGCTAAACACAAAAGCACGCTCCTAGTAAATTGTCAATCCAGTAAGCTTCAGAAGCAGTACAGGCTTCAAGGCCTCCAACACCATAAGACACTTCACTTGAATTAAATCCCTTGTGAAATTTCAATATATAAATATTTATAATGTGTATAGCCTGCTAATATGTCATGTTTCATTACATATTAGTCAGATGATGCACAAAAACAGAGTAGCATTTACCTAAATCCTCACAATTACATCACATGCCCTGCATACATATGTGGTGAACTACTGTTGGCAAAGAAAAAAAGGTTATCAGTAATATTTAAGACAGTATCAGTGACATTCTGACATCTTTCTAGCTAGATCATTTACTCTATTTTATGACTAAGAACTTGGCTTCCATAGATCAATCCTCCAGGGTAACATCTACGAGATTACAATGCATATATTACCAGATTAATTCTAATGCAGCTAATGACCTTTTCTGCTATATGCATATAAACCTATTCTTTAACTATGGATTGAAATGTATAAGTAATAAAAAATGTGAAGATCTTCACAAGGGGTGAAAGATTTGAAAGGCATACTTGTTGATGTAGTCTAATACAAGTTATATGCCAAATTTTTTGATAGTCTTAAGAGTAACTCTCTCTTCCTTGGCTCCTGCTTATGTTACTCATTTGCCTAGTGTTTTGGGCTGTATATAACAATGAGAGACCATCAGTGATTGTTAAGCCCTCGGAAAGTAGCAAAGGTGAGTTAATTGCCACGGTGTGACAGTGGTGTTAGGAGTAGGTGTGATGAAAACAGGTGATTATGTTAGACCCACCCATCCCCACATAAATTTGATACCACGAGAGATAAGGCAGCAACATTTAGAGGGAGGGGAAACGAACAATCAAATCTATTTCTTTCCCCTGAAATTATCAAACCAAACAAACTCTAAGAATGGATAGTTTAGTCATTGCGCTGGAGAAAGGCTTATCATCCTAAAAGACAGCCACAAAGACAGCCACTAAAAATTGAACAAATCCTAAACTTCACTATCACTCAGTCGATTTCACAAAACCTCATGCTCAAACATTCATCTTTGCACGAGCCACTTATTCAAGAACAATGTAACAATTCCAACCCTCTTTCCTCTCATAACATTTCAACAAAAAAATTAAATAAATTATCGAAATGATTATCACTGATTAAACCCAGATTGCAAATTAACACATATTCGGAAATCCCAATAAATACAATTGAAATGAAAACCCTAAAAAATCCTAACTACCCACAAACCCAATTCCCAATTTCAAATACCCAGAATGACAAAAACATTCATCAACAAAGAAATCAATGAATGAATCGAATCGTATCGAAATGAAAACCTAGATAAAATTAGGTCGAAGCAAACCTGAGCCTTATCAGCGAGTTGAACAACAAGGCGACCAACAGGAAGAGAAGATTCATAGGTAAATTTATAATTAATAGATTCGGATCTCATATATCTGGACAGAACACGACCATCGGCAGTAAGACCAGCAATGGCGACACCAATATGGTCATCAACCTTAAAGATCTTACGTTGATGAGAAGAGAGTTCGGATTGAGCTTTGTTAACACAAGCAAGAACAACATGGGTCTTAGATCGGAGACCAATTGAAGCAGAACCTTGCTTCACTGCTTCCATGGCGTATTCTACTTGGAATAGCCGACCTGCTGGACTCCATGTTGTTACGTCGGTGTCATACTGGTTTCTGAACATCTTTAGGAGAGAGAAAGTTGGAGAGTGAGTGAATTGTGGAGTGTTGAAGGTTTGAGACTTGAGAGTTGGAGGGAGGTTTTGAAGGAAGGAAGGAATGAAATGGGGGTTTGGTTTGATTTGGTTTGGTTTGGGTTTCTTTTTGTGCAAGGAAAATAAAAGTAGGATTTGATTAATGGATGGAAGAAACTAATTTTATAAAGAGTTAAAGGGAAAAAGTTCTCTCGACTAAGAGGAAAAAGTGGTCACTTCCACCTGTGTTCTCCAATTGTTTTTGAAATAGGTTAAAGTAAAAGGACAAATGAGTAAAACATAAAACTAGGTACTAAACTTTGGCAGTTGTTGCAGATTGGGTATTATTATGACAGATTTTTTTTCGACGCGTCTTTCCTTTGTGTTGGCAAGAGATATTGTCTGTAGATCAGTGGTTGCAATTGACGTCGCTACAATCAAGGAATAGGCCAGTTCGACTAATTTCACCAAGCCTATTTTCTAGGAATTCCATGATTAACAGCCAAGTACATCAATGGTAAACAAAGTTTCCAAGGAGAATAAGTCAACAACCAAATTCCGCTCTTCAAAGAAAGGATAAGTATCAGGTATGACAGCTAAACCTAAGGAAAAAATCCGTTAGGGTTTAAAGTAGCCTAACTTATAAATAAGGGTTATTTATTCTCATAAACACACACTAATTCATAGTCTCAATTATTCTAAGCAATATTCAATATTGTACTCTTGTACTCGAAATTTGTATTCTCCACATAGTGAAATTAGTGAAAATACTCTCACCCGTAGTTTTTCCCATTTTCATTGGGCTTTCTGTGTCATCAAAAGATCGTTTGTTCTGTTTTTATTTAGATTTCAAGAAAACCAATTAATCCTAGTCTGGTCATTGACGTCCCATCCTTACTTCGTCCTTAGGCGATTATTAGCATAAACAATTTGGCGTCCGCTATGGAGCAGATGACTATATCTTAAACCAAAAACAAAAACACCTTCAAACACCACCATGGTTTCATCCGGAAACATGACTCTCGAGCAGATGAGGGAAGAGATATGAATGACTCAAGAAGAGCTTGCACAGTAAAGGGCAGAAATCGCACGCATTGTCAGCGAAAGCCAGAAGTCCGTGGAATCCATGAGAAAAGAGTTGGAGACCGTCCGCAACAAGACGTCCAAGCAATGCAAAAACACCAATGAAATCTCCAGCATGATGACTTTAGATTCTTCAGTAGAGGAGTCTGATCCTGAGGAAAAAGATCAGGAAATGAATGATGGGGAAGCCCAAGACAAAGACGTTGGAGGCGCTGACCCAACGACCTGAAGACTGAACAGGATCGAAGGTTAGAGCATGAAGTTGATGAGGTTGTTGAAGAGCTTCCTGGAGCGTGAGTGCCAACTAGGATAGAGGAGGCCGACAAATTTATCACTTCATTGTTCATGGAGAACGTTGCCATGGACGACATCCCTAAGAAGCTAAACATTGTGCCACTTGCGATGCATTACTATGGGAGTACCTACCCATTAGAGCATGTCAATCACTACAAGTAGAGGATGTGGTAGTACCCCTCGCAACCTGCTCGAGCCAGTCTTATACATATCATTCGGAGCTACTTTGATAAGGCCTGCCTTCAAGTGGGTGCGTGATATTAAAAGGGTTCCATTACTACCTTTCAAACATTATATAACAGGTTTTATTCTCTGTTCAACAACAATTGCAAAGTGGAGAAGAAGACGAGCGACCTATATCGTGTCGTGCAAAAGCATGGAGAATCCATCGCAGATCCAATAAAGAGATGATTGGCATCAAAGGCTATGACGTCCGCACTGCCTAGCATTCAAACGTGGGTTATCTCTAGAATCTAAGATTTACAATCATGACCTAATATCCATGCACAATGTTTGAGGAAGTCAAGACGCGCACCCTAGCATAGATCCGACCAGATGAAGACCTAGCTGCCAGAAAAGGCTTCAAGATCATTAATGTCAATAGCAACTAAAGAATCGATGAAAGGCCCAAAACAACAACCAAAAGAGTTAGCGTCGAAATCCTTATGACAGACTTGACCAGGGAAACAATGTCAATAAGTTAATAACGTTGATAACGCTAATAGTGGTCAATCCTCTAATGATAGGTCGAAGAAGTCAGATGCCAACGTATACCTCAAGATAGGAGAGTAAAGTTTCTGCATCAACATCGGGGGCGTGGTGAATGCCTTACATTCCTTAGGTGTTGTCGCTCGATGGCCAAGGAAGAACAATAACCAGTTGATAGCACGGACCAGTCCAAATGGTGCGACTACCATAGCGACCATGGCCATCACATTGAGGACTACATCACCCTAAGACGAAAATAGTGTCCCTTCTGGAAAAAGAAAATCTAAAAGAGCTACTTGGAAAAGGCAAGACAACAAGTGTAGACACCTAAAAATTCTCCCCAAATAAAGCCTGATGACGAAACAACCTTCATTGCCTAATTTGGTCCGGTTCGCGTAATGGATTCAAGAATTACTTAAATAATCCTTTTCTTCTATCCCACTATCATTTTCATAAGCCATTCTAGCCATTTTAATAAACCAAACCCTTTACTTAGACCAAATTCCATAAGCCTTAGCCTAATTTCCTATTTTCATAACTGTAGTCCCAAAATCGACCAAATATGATTTTCGTACCTCATAATTTTTATCCAAATCCTAAATTTTTAAATATCCCTTGAAATAAGCTTTCTTATTATATATCATAAGTTCAATTCCGATTTGAAACGAAAAAGCTATGATCAAAATACTAAACCCGATCCAAAATTACCATCGTTGCACTATTTCGGTCATATCCTAAATTCTAAAAATGTATTAATCTGATTCTAATTGTATTGGAAAATAGATATTTCTAGCGATATATTATTTATCTTATTTTGAGCTCTGGATAAAAATTTTGATAAAAACAAAAATCGCAAAACGGCTAACTCGTATGACGTGTTTTCAAAATTATATCTTCTTTTAAAATTCTATCATAACCCAAATTTGCCTACAAATACCAGCTTATTTTCTATTTTTTTTAGGGGGGCGGGGGTGAATATATACGAAATCCTGACAACTATTTTTTTTTCAATCCTTGTTGAGGTAAATATTGCTCTTTACCAACAACTTGTTCTAGAGTGTTAGGGGGCTGCACCTCGAGTCATCGATTTCAAAGATTGATAACCTTGCTAACGTAAAACAAACAAATAAGGAAGCTTTCCCAAAAGAAGTAAAACAAGTTAGATTGCTCAAAGAAACGAGTGGATAAACATATGGCAAAAGATACAAATGCATTCCATTAATGTAAGGATAGAGTCAGGTCTACAACTGTACAAGTTGAAGGAGAGGTTACCTCCATGTTCATAAAATTGGAAAGACGAACGATTTTCAATACATGCTAGATGATAAACTACACTATCGCTTGGCTACTAAGCCAAGGGAAAACTACAAAAGCTAAGAATAAAGCTTAAAAGAAATGAAATATGCTTGTTGTTGAGTTGTTTGTTGATCTCTTTTGGTCCTTGCACTTCTATATATAGGAAAAATGGAGCGGTTATAGCTAACTCTCATAACTGTTGTACGGGTGCCAACTCTACTTTAAAAATTAAAATCATCCATTAGCCTTCTAATCTGGTCTATATATAATTGGGCCTTAGTATGATATCAGCCCAATGGTTGTTATGCTTTAATCAATCTAGCCAAAGACCCCACACTGACTCTAGGACTTCTCATCGTGGTCAAAGTCAAGAAAGTCAAATAAATGATTTTTGGGTGTAACAAATACCCCTCTAATTTGGGTGGTTGATGGCATTTGAAACCAACCAAATTATAACTCTTTAAGCATAAATATAAAGCATTATGTATGTCTAACTCTGTAAATGCCAAACACATAATATAAACATTACTTAATATTTATAAAAACTAGAATAATTACAAAATTTTAGCATGTCAAAACTTATAAGTTTTGAATTGTGTATGCTCTTTAAAACAAGACTTAAGGCTAAATATATATAGCGATATACTTATTGAGATGCCTTCTAGTATCCTGGATCGTCTTTGAGCGTCGCCACACGATTCTACAATTCGAGATCGTCAAGATAATCATCGAATTTGTCATCGCTAGGCTCTGTAAGAAGCCAGTTGATCCTGTGGTGCTCAAAGATTGACTCATACCAAAATTGACAGGCACACTTAAACACTAAGGTGTACATTTTCCCCTCAGTACCCCTGGTAACTTCCACGTCTTAGTACATATTGGGGTAAGGGATAATCCTTGCTTCCAATTTCCTATCGAAAGTAGGAGGAAAGATTGCTCTAATCTCCCTGGCCCATCCCTTACAAACTAAGGCGGCGTCCGCCCTGTCATCTTTCTCCTCTAGGTGGGGAAGTATGAAATTCCTCAAATGATCAGCATTCGCACCCACATGGATAGCGCTAGGCCCAGCAAGTCCATCTTCATCCTCTAAAATGGCGGGTCTATCCCCCCATCGCTTTCTGATCCTCGTGTTGAGGCAATTTATCTTTCTATTCATGTAATTTCTCTTCCATTTGGAGCGCCTATCCATAGACAAATGGTGATTAGGGCACTTATTTGGGTATTCAATAGATCCATGGAGTGCATTGTGAACATAAAACATGCCAAACGATTGTCTATCACTAGGTAAGTCGTGAAATTACTTATAATTACAACCCATATATTTCAATTTTAAATTAAAAATATATTTGTGTGGGTATAATCACAATAATCCAATTGTATCTCTTGATCAAAAGAACAAAATATATATAATTTATATTGATCACATAATTTGAACAAGGCCAAGATCAGACATAAACAAAAGTTAAAATCTTCAAAAAGTCAAGACATGATAAAAAACATGCTTAAGTACTTAGTTTCAAAATAACTAAGAACATGAAATAAATCATGTTTGAGTACTTAAATCTTTAGCTAAAAGTTAGTTCAATTGGACTAAAAGAAATCGAACCAAGCAAACCCTAGCCTTTGATCAATCTGAAGTGTGATTGGGACTTCTAGGACACTTGTGTGCTGGTTCATACGTGTCGGAGGACAAATTAGAGCTTTCTTCTTGCTCAATTATCATCATTTTTCCTTAGCTTCTTGGTGGAGACTTCTTAGCCCTTCTTTGTCGCCTCTTCCT